GGTCATCTAGTCCAACCCCCTGCTCAGGCAGGAAACCCTATACCATTTCGGACAAATGGCTGTCCAGTCTCTTCTTAAAAACTTCCAGTGTTGGTGCATTCACCGCTTCTGGAGGCAGGTTGTTCCACTGGTTAATTGTTCTAACTGTCAGGAAGTTTCTCCTTAGTTCTAGGTTGCTTCTCTCCTTGATTAGTTTCCACCCGTTGCTCCTTGTCCTGCCTTCAGGCGCTTTGGAGGATAGCTTGACTCCCTCTTCTTTGTGGCAGCCCCTGAGATATTGGAACACTGCTATCATGTCCCCCCTCGTCCTTCTCTTCATTAAACTAGACATACCCAATTCCAGCAACCATCCCTTATATGTTTTAGCCTCCAGTCCCCTGATCATCTTTGTTGCTCTTCTCTGTACTCTTTTTAGAGTCTCAGCATCTTTTTTACATCGCGGTGACCAAAACTGGATGCAGTATTCCAAGTGTGGCCTTACCAAGGCATTGTAAAGTGGTATTAATACTTCATATGATCTTGATTCTATCCCTCTGTTAATGCAGCCTAGCACTGTGTTGGCTTTTTTGGCAGCTGCAGCACACGGCTGGCTCATATTTAAATGATTGTCCACTAGGACTCCGAGGTCTCTCTCATAGTTACTACTATTGAGCAAGGTACCCCCTATACTATACCTGTGCATTTGGTTTGTGAACAAGCTCTTCTTAAAGTGGCTGAACAGAAGCCGGGAGTTAGTCAACCGGGTTTTTATTTTGAGATTTAGATCTCGTTCTAATAAGTGTGGCCTCACTGGTGCCGAAGAGAGTCTAAAATTTCATCTTGTCTCTAAAAACAATGGTGTGTTAAGAATCCCTAGCCGGCTTGGGTTAAATTATAAGTCTGATAAGTCTGTGATTAATTAAGCTATCAACTCATGCCCTTTCGTTTTAAAAGTAACCTTTTTATATTACTTCTTTAAACAAAAATCTTACTGGAAAATAATACTTTAGCCCATCGCTTGATGCTACCAACTTAAGAGAATGCTGCTGTTGGAAGTATCACTGTTTCGGACAGGAAGGCTGTGCAGAGAGTGGTGAGGACAGCAGGAAAAACTATTGGAAATTCACTTCCTTCTATCCAAGCCAGGGCATATAAGCATTGCTTGAGCAGGGTCCGCAGGATTGAACAATTAACCAGTGGAACAACCTGCCTCCGGAAGCGATGAATGCTACAAATCTGGAAGTTTTTAAGAAGGGACAGGACAGGCATTTGTCTGAAATGATATATGGTTTCCTGCCTGAGCAGGGGGTTGGACTAGATGACCTCCAAGGTCCCTTCCAACTTGATGATGATGATGATGATGATGATGATGATGATGATGATGATGATGATGATGAAGAAGAAGAAGAAGAAGAAGAAGAAGAAGCTTCTTGGATGAGAAGTGAAATGTTTTCAATAAAAAAAATGAGAAAGTCCAGTTGCCTTTTAGACAACAGCTTCAGGACTACCATGACCTGGATGACTAAGAATCTCCACAGACATCAGGTTTCTTTTAAATTCCAGAAAACACGGTTAAAACAGAAGCAAAACATATTGTCTGCTCAAATAGAACTCGGGCTTACAGCTGTCAAATTCAAACATCTTAGTCTGTTCTCGTTTATCAGTGGGAAAAGTTAGATTTAACACTCAGGAATGTATTCAGGCTAGTTATCAAAGCCATAAAGTACTCCGAGTTGAAAGGAATATTCTCTGTGTCATGACGGGACGTGAGACGGAAAGACATATTAACCTGCCATCTCTATACCGTGAAATGAACTGCCTGTTCCCATTTTGCTGGTAGAATTGAACATTTATCTCCAAAAATGGCAAAAAAAAAAGCCATCTGTTTCATAGCTGTTGACACTGACCTGCCTAAGAATTGTGCAATATGTCAAAGCCTTCCTTTCATCTGGTGATTACTTTGGGGGGAATGAAATGCAAGCAGATACTTTGGAAATCTCCTTTTCCCCAAAGTTTTTTTTTGCCCGACAACTGAAGCACGGGTTTTATATTTGAACAATTTGATATTTTGCTTGAGAGAAACTGAGGGGGAAAAAAATATCTACCCGGTAAAAACAACGATGATCAAACACAGAAAGGTTTCGCCTCAAAAAAAAAACACCAAAAAACCTCCGGATAATAAATGCCTCGTGTTATCTTCCACTGGCATTAGAAAAATGATTCTGTTGTTCCGGCGGCATTCGAGAATGAAAGAAATATTTTAATCAAATATTGCATCCATTCGATACGGACTGTAAAAAACAACAACAACCAAGCAACGTATGAGGACCTAAGAATGATATCTGTGGTTTTAGCAAAAAACACGGAGACGTGAATGTTCTTCTGGAACACTGCTTTGACATGAGCATCAAGATGTGGCTCATAGCTGGCACTGAATAAAACTTGGGAGCATCTTCATATCCATACTAGCTGCAACCAGTTGATCACCACAGATGGGGTCAAGCTATTTTCCAAGGCGCCTGAAGGCAGGACAAGAAGCAACAGGTGGAAACTGATCAAGGAGAGAAGCAACTTAGAACTAAGGAGAAACTTCCTGACAGTTAGAAGAATTAACCAGTGGAACAACCTGCCTCCAGAAGCAGTGAATGCTCCAACACTGGATTTTTTAAAGAAGAGATTGGACAGCCATTTGTCTGAAATGGTATAGGGTTTCCTGCCTGAGCAGGGGGTTGGACTAGATGACCTCCAAGGTCCCTTCCAACATTATTATTATTATTATTATTATTATTATTATTATTATTATTATTATTATTACCATCATCATCATCATCATCATCATCATTATTATATAAATTAAAAGACGCGTGCTCCTAGTGTGCCTGGCTGAGGAATTCTGGGAGTTGAAGTCCACAAGTCATAAAAGGGCCAAGTTTGAAGACCCCTCCACTAGATCCACTCTTAACATTTTTGTTCTCTTTTATTGTTATTTGGATTGTTTTCAATGAATTTATTTCGGTTTGCAGTATTCTTAAGTAAAGAGATATGAATTCTTTTGGGGGTTAGCGTTCCAATGCAACACTAATTTCCCATTTTTAAACAGATGAATGCTATCTATTATTTAGTTTATTTGGTTTCTATCATGGTGTGTGTTTTTTTCCTACCAAGAAAGCTACTCAAAGTAAATCACGGAAAAATATTAGAACAGCAATTGAAACTAAATGTCGGTTACCGCGCTGTGGCTATTTGTTCTGCTTTAGTTATCGATTTCCCAAAGTGGCTAGTCCCTGTTACAAAGGGGTAATTTGTCGGAGTTCTGTTTAACTCAGAGTTTCTGAATAGTTATATATAAGGAGGTGAAAACAAAAGGCTGGAGGAAAAGGGGAAAATTCACATTAAGGATGGAGGTGGAAGACATGTAAAATAAATTTAACTTATAATAAAGTCACAATTCTGAGCGCAACCTAGCCGGGAAGAATCCTTGAATGCTTTATATCAGGGGTGTCAAACTCAATTTCATTGAGGGCCGCATCAGCATTGTGGTTGCCCTTGGGGGAGTGTGGCCAGGGTGTGTGTGGCCTACTGGGTGGGCGTGGATGGAGTTGGTGTGGCCTACTGGGTGGGCATGGCCAACTCTACATCGTTCGCGTCAAGGGTGCCTGTGGGGGCCTGGGCAGGAGTGGGAAAGATCTGAGGGTCTCTGGCAGAAGGGGGTAGAACCGGGGCAAGCGCCAAGGCATGGTCCATTTCTTCATTCCTCACAAAGGGTGACACCTCCCCAGCATGCACCCAGAGGGTGGGACCGACACAGCAGGGGCCGGTTCCTCGCTGGTTCCGGACGGCCTTGTGGAGCTAAGACTGAATGCGTTTCAGCCTAGATGGCCACCACAAAATTGTACATTGGCTCCCGGCCGGCCTGGGCCAGGGCCAAGGCAGAGGGGTCCGTTCCCTCACTGTTTCCAGGATGGCTTCGCAGGCCATATGAAACAACTTCGCGGGCCGCATCCGGCCCCCGGGCCTTGTGTTTGACATGCCTGCTTTATATGGAAAGCGACAGGCATTTCAGAAAACAAGACGGAACAAAATATTGCTGAAAACAAAAATAGCCCCAGTGAGCTTATTGGTGGCATTCTCTTTTTAGCTACGTTTGACTGTTCTCTGCACGACTCGGCAGATTTGATTAAAGGGGACAGCAATCGGAGGAAAACTCCAAGCAGAACTGGGGGGAAAAAAACAAAAAAACACTGAAGGTTCACAACCCAAATTATTATTATTTTCCTTTAAAACAGTTGAAGAGTTCTTACCAATTGCAATATGAATTTTCACAACATCTCCCAAACTTCTTCCAGAATAAAATAAAATAAAATAAAATAAAAAAAAACAGCCGAGAGCCCGACATTGCAAGCTATGTGCCCGTGAAGCTCAAATTACTCGGCTTGGCAACACGTCAAAAATTATTTCCATATTTCTACAACTGAAACTTATCCTTACTTCAGCTGCGGCTAGTGATGTCACCTCCATCAGATTCCCTGCTCGGAAGGCAAACACGGCAGCTGCCAGCACTGAAAAAAAAAAGAATGTGCAGCATTTCAACCGTTGGCCGTACTAATTAGTTGTTAGCGATACTTTTGGTCTAGTTATTCTTGAGTTCCGTTCAATATTCTCCTGGCTTGGTAAGGGATTGTCAGTTTGTGAGAGCAGCGGGCACGTATTTAAAGAGACCTTCAACATCCACCGGGTACATATAAACCTAAAGCGCATTGTAGCATTTGGCTTACAAGTTCGCATCTGCCTAC